CATGTCATTATGAACAATATTTTACATCTTACAACCGACCCTAACAGTGGTTTCCCAGAGTTTCACGCGAGACTCAGCAATGACTTTTACAAGTTACGCTTTGACCTTGAACTTAAGGCTAAAAATGTCAGATTATTGCAACGGTTCATAAAAATTCTGTTTATAAAAGTGGCTTTGATATGATTGAATAAGAGACGAATAACTTTCATTCACTTCTGTAAACTGATTGAACCAGTTAATGTAACATTAATAGAGGGTAAACATTAATTTAATTATTTCCTATTTGCAATACCTTTTATCACAGTCGTATAAAGACCAGTTCACAAAATTTCTAATGGTGTTTACCTGCGTGATGAAATCAAGTACCTTCTTGATCAACGGTCTACCCTATAATAAGCCTAAGCAACTATAAGGCCAATGTACAATGTGATATTAACTTGCTATAAAAGACACTTTAATAGAAGGTATTCCAACACTTAGAATGCATCAAAGAACGTTTTACGCTAAGCTGTAGCTATGTGTAATGTGTGTTAATTGAAACGCCTGTATATTGCCTCAGAGCTATATAAATAACATGCAGTTAAGACCACGTTTTTTCTATCCTAATATATTACATTTTACGTTAATATACTCAGTTTTCCAGGTCTAGGCCACGTGCTTACCCTGCTATTGCTACTTGGCTAAAGCCAAATCTCCAATTTGATTTTAACGCTAATAAATACTGATTGCTTCAGCCTTTTAGATGCTGCTAAGATTCTTTCTTTACGCTTTTTTATCACATTGCCTTCCATTGTAATCTGCATAATATAGATAAAAACAATCTTAGTTTATCTCTCAAGTTTTACTTTGTGCTATAAACTTGTTTGGATAATGTCAATTTTTCTATTAATCCTATTGCTCTTTCTTGTAGCTTAACTTCCCACAAAACTTTCAAGAACAGATGGTTCCTCTGCAGTGAAGCAAATATATTTTGCTAGTTAATTTCATTTTACTGCAACCATCCTATTAGCTCACAATTCTCAATTCGTCCTAGAAGACACAATTTTCCTAGCGTTGAGAAGGAACATTTTTGCTGATGCCAAGATACTATCATACTATCTCACTTTTTTTTCACTTATAATTCAGATAATGAATCCAATGACCTGTATTCAGTTACTAAACAAAGGCACAAAGATAAAAAAGACAGAGAACGTTTACTAACTGCAACTAACCACTCTGCGATTATTACCTTGTGACTTCCATCAATAAACACAACTGTAAACACACTAAACGGACTATATCTACCAGTACATTAATGACTCAGACACTTCAACCAACCAATAGGAGCTTTTTACTAGACATGAAATAAAGTACAAAAGAAGTTTGGGTTTACGTACACATAATACAAATACCAATACAACAACAAATGTATTTTTATCCTGTCTGAAGTCCACAATGAAATGTCCGAATACCATCAGCTATATTTTTCTAAGCTAATAATGCACAAAGTGCTTGTGGGTCCATCATTTTGTTGGTCACAGGTTTTCTAATAACATACGAGATACAAACAAAAAACACTAAAATATAACCTCAATATTACATTTAATGTATTGAATGCTGTAACACACAAAAACAAAATTATTCAATATGTGGACCCAACCGGCAATGAATGGTATAAGAACAATTTGGTAATTTGCGGGTTCAAGCTTCCTTTTAATACAGGTTGCATGACCTGTATGCTCTATGCAGAGAAACTAATCATACCATCAAAGCTGATACACTGTATAATAAATTTATTAAATCAAGGTATAGAAGGAGCCTTCACAAACGATTGTCCTTTTTATTGTTAGACCGTTATTTCGTATAGCTGAACCCCTGGATTCTCCTCAAATACTGTTTTACATCATACATCATATATTACGTGCATTGCGTGACGCTAAGAGCCCTTGAGAAAAGACGTATACCAAAACGTCAGGTTTAAGTAATTATCTTTTCTGTAGTTTTATTAGTCATCATTTCAAGCTATAGTTTTAACGTTAAGAGCCCTTGAGAAAAGACGTATACCAAAACGTCAGGTTTAAGTAATTATCTTTTCTGTAGTTTTATTAGTCATCATTTCAAGCTATAGTTTTAACTCTAGTCTGCTCTGCAAAGTTTCAAAAACGATAATAGATTCTAGCAGTTCCATCCCGAAAGTCTTTGTTAAGAGTGCTAACACTGGGCAACATGCTTAATTCGTAGCCACGCTTCCCTACGACTGCCATAAACGGAAAAAGCTTATCCCATTTTATATAATAAGACCGGCACACACACACACATATATAACACACAAATCTGACTACTACGGAAGGGCTTGGAAACAGCGCCCTTCTTGTAAATTAATCTGAAAACTTTGTTCTGACAATTAAAAAAAGGGCCTGATGTTCTTCTTTAATATTACATTTTTCAAAATAGCTGTATATATATTGCGAAATAACATATCATTCTTCGTCATCAGTTAACAATGAACAACAATAAAGATTTTCAAACTTAACGTTTATTTATTACGAAAACAAAGACTCTGGTTTTCCAATATTCCTTCGGCTTTAGACGTTTGAACCGTAACTTTGAAAGCTTGTTTCAGGTTAAGCACATGGCTACGCAATGGGCTATCAGTACTGTGTTCACTGCGGGTATCAAAACCCGATTTTTAACCTTATAAGTCCTCGGGCTTACCGCTGAGCCACCGGGGAAGGACCCTATATAAAGTATATAAACCTGATTAAATTTAAGTACATTTTCACGAGCTTCATTTTATAAAATCTTAGAGTGATTCCATTCTTGTAACGCAATTTACCTTTATTGGTATATTATAGATTGGATAGACACAGATAAATTGACCATTCTTTTTCTTTTTTTTTGGACAAGCTGCTGAAATGTGGAACGGTTGGTAAATGAGTATTTAACTTAAACAGATGAAAGGGGGTTTAATGTACGTGTTCATAAGATTAAATGGTAAGACAATTTCTTCTAAGGTTTAGATAAATCATGTTGTATAAGAAAGAAATATATTGATGTTCCTTAAGTGTGTTAAAGAATAGTGTAAGGAACACGTTATCATCAAAGTGCAGAATGCGAGCTTAAAGTAATTACTATGTTTACCATTTATCTGTTTACGATATATCTGATACCCTTTTCTACAATTTATAGAAACGGATCAAATAAGTTATCAGTTTTAGGGACTTGCTCTAAACTCATAGATTAAGCTATTAGCAATCTCAAACACATTTCAAATAATGAACTTTCAGATGTTTACAAACTAAAAAACAAATACATGTTATGACAAAGCAATTGTATAAAAAAATAATCCGTATAATGCTTCATAGAGTCAAATACTGCATTATCCTTCAAAAACGAAAAATACTGCGCGATCCCACTTATAATTTTGATTCATCAGTATAGTTATATTTCATTTCTGAAGGGTGATTTTTGGACATATGTTTTTTTGTAATTATGCACAAAGCTATACAATGGGCTATCTGTGCTCTGCCCACCACGGGTATCGAAACCCGGTTTCTAGCGTTGTAAGTCCGTAGACATACCTCTGTGCTACTGGGGGGCTTGAACATATGTACATTTGTGTGTTTAGATTTTTATCTGTTTGTTGTTTTACCCGCTTTTACTTAAAACTAAAAATAGCTCAGACTTCGAATTCCAGTTTTATATTTTCTTGTTAAAAAACATTTCCTTTACATGCATACAGAAAATTGGCTCGCGACATTTAGTAAACCGACGACTTTCAATATATTTTGCTGATTACTGCATTTTTCGTTTTTGTGATTGTTCCTGAAACTTCCAAAACATTTAATACCAGCAGTCATATGACTTACTTTTCCTACACTGAAACGTTTGCTGCTGTAATAGAAAATGCAGGATCAGATTACAAGTACTGTCTCACGTTTAAATGACACAAACTGAAGTGGTATGTTTTAGAATGAAGTGTACAGTCTGGCCATAAACCAACTTCGAACATAATTAAAGTCGTTGTCAGAATTGCTTATCTGGTATGTTAAAACAAATTATAAGATACTTATATATATATATATATTGGTATAGAAAGTTACCGTTGATTGCTAGATGGAAGATTTACTCTTCTATAAAATACAATCAATGACACTACAACGCTTTAACCTATTGACTTTCCTGGTGTAAAGTAGCTCAAACTTTGGAACTGAAGGAAGATCCTCATACGACAAACAATATATAGTTGAAATGTAAGCCTTTTATTTCAAATCCGATAAAATTATCATGCTATTTTAAATAGTCTTATTCTGGTTTAATATCACACACACATATTAATGTGTACCTTAATTTGTTAGTTTGGTGAAATACGTGCAATTAGTTATTTTCTGTGAAAGCAATCTTAAGTGGAAAAAGGAAACAACTCGTACTAAAAGACGAAATAGTTCTCTTGTGTTATATAGGTATAAATGTGTATAAACAAAAATAAATATTGTAAGAATAGTAAGAACGTTTCTGAAAGGCACAGTGCTAGATCTTTCTCAAATGATGTACACAGTTTTAACATCTGAAACAGTAATTAGTTTGGTAGGTGAAGCCTGTTTGATATAACTTTACGTTAAAACACTCAAGTTAATATAATAAAACTTCACGTTAAAACACTCAAGTTAATATAATACAACTTTGCGTTAAAACACTCAAGTTAATATAATACAACTTTACGTTAAAAGACTCAAGCTGATATATTACAACTTTACGCTAAAAGACTCAAGCTAATATATTACAACTCTGCGTTACAGGATTCAAGCTGATATATTATAACTTTAGGTTAAAAGACTCAAGTTAATACAGTACAACTTTAGGTTAAAAGACTCAAGTTAATACAGTACAACTTTAGGTTAAAAGACTAAATGATATTTTTCACTAGTGAGAATGTAATTACAAATATTCAGCAACTCATATATAGCACGAGCTTATAGCTTGCTACATACTAACAAAGGGCAGCTAGTAATTTCCCTTACCTGACCTATGCCCGACGAAAGGGTTTGCTAAAATTTACACAACCCCCGAATGCTGGTTTCCGTGCAGTTGCGTAGAGCCGCGAGACTGCTACAAACTTTTGCGGTGCGCTCCTGTGTACCGAAATAGTGTTAGTTCAGTGTTCGTCTCGGTAGAGTATGAGATGTGTCCACCGACGGTTGAATGACGAAACTTGCTAGTAGCTCAGAAACACCAACGGTTTCCAGACTGTTCTGTTGGATTTTCCTATCGTCATGTATGTTTAGATTACTGATGTTTTAGGTATAAACAAATTTAATATTACTTCGCGATCAGTCTGTATCCGTATATTTCAAAGTTTTTAGCTGTTTTCTTTTTACATCTTCAAACACAAACTGGGACTGTGAGATTTACCTTATCAACACTCCTTCCCTAAGTTGCTCTAATAAAACATAAGGAAGAGAGAAACAGACTGAACTTCTTTTGTTAAAAGAATGTTTTAATAAAAACTTCTATTTTAACGTTGACATATGCATATCTTCGGCAACTTTAACTAAATTATTCAATGTAGCTCACCTTACAAACACCTCACCTAGCTCACTCGAAGTACACCCGCTAGATTCACGAGGAGCGATTCACTTCCAGCAAGCGACGATTGACGTTTTGTTCAAAGGTGGACCTATTAGCGCCCTCTACAGGAGAAAAAGAAGACTTTGAAATTGAAACTAAACTTCACATTAAACAAAGGTACATTCCCGAACGTAGAGAAGTAAGCAGACGGTCTAGTTTTAAACAATGTTTAAATTTGGAACGAAGATCTGAAAAGATGCATAGCTTAATTTGTGACTAATTCTAATTAGAATTCAAATTCACAAAATAATTAAGATTAACTGCAAACGATTTTTACGTATTCCAGAAAATGCTTAAAACAAAGGTAAATTCAGTGTTAAAAAAGGGGGTGAACACAGCTAAAAAAAGAAGGATTATTTCAGTTAAAATTTTTATAAAGATATTCAAAACAATTTTTCCTAAATATAAATTTCTCTGTGGTTATTTTGATGCTCATGAAGCGCATTAAAATATATGTCGCAATATAATGTGATTATGTTTTCTAAATATATTTTAGATCTCTTTGAATTACTTTTTTTACTTGTTTTAGAAAAAATGTAGAGGGCATTTAGTGAAACAGTATCATTTTCTTATTCAAGATGATACAGAACCTAGTGCTTATTCTGTTTATTATGAAAAAAAGCGTTTTAAGCCTAGAATGTTGAAATAGTAAGATGTTACATATCAACTTGCAACATATTTTTTTAAACAACTTTTATGGATATAAAATTATCACTTAAATGATGTAAAAGTTTTAATAAAACTACTGTATATAGCAATTCTGAAAAAAAAGCACTCGAAATATATAGCACAGTTCTTATGTACAACTACTACATTTATATAACACAGTTCTTATTTACGTACAATTACTATATTTATATAACACAGTTCTTATGTACAACTACTACATTTATATAACACAGTTCTTATGTACAACTACTACATTTATATAACACAGTTCTTATGTTAGTAGTTGTACATAAGAACTGTGTTATATAAATATAGTAGTTGTACATAAGAACTATGTTATATAAATATAGTAGTTGTACATAAGAACTGTGTTATATAAATATAGTAGTTGTACATAAGAACTGTGTTATATAAATAACAACTACTACATTTATATAACACAGTTCTTATTTATGTACAACTACTATATTTATATAACACAGTTCTTATGTACAAAGTACTACATTTATATAACACAGTTCTTATGTACAACTACTACATTTATATAACACAGTTCTTATTTATGTACAACTACTATATTTATATAACACAGTTCTTATGTACAAAGTACTACATTTATATAAC